CTGGACCGGGTGCTAGAGGCCCACCTCAGGTGAGGGGCAGCAGACTGAGCTGTGGGGCATGGGGGGTATGCAGGGACATGGGTGAGGGATGACTAGACAGCATCTGGGAGCTCTGGCAGCCCCCAGTGCGCTGGGGTGTCCCAAGCGGTGCCAAACCTTTGCCCGGTCCCAGGGGAGTGTGTGCCCCCACTGGCATGTCCAGGCCAGCTCCTGCAGCACTGGGACACAGGGGCAGAGACCCTTCGTGACCCTGTCCCTGTGCAGGGGGGCAGAGATCCTGTACAGCCTGGCACTCGCCCATGCCCGCCGTGCCAGTGCCGATGGCAGGTACCCGCTCTCCGACTACGCCCTGCTGAGCAACGCCCGACGCAACCTGGGCCTCTTCCAGCACCACGACGCCATCACTGGCACTGCCAAGGAGGCTGTAGCCGTGGACTACGGAGTCCGGTGTGTGTGGGGGCTGGGGCACCCTCAGAGACTGTCAGGGAGGGGCTGGTGGGCTCAGGGCTGTGAGTGCGGCTGGGTGTAGGGGTCTTGTGGGGCTCCTCTCCTGGGGAGAGGTGGGAGGTGTTAGGGGGATGCTGGGACAGATGGGCGAATGGTCCTGGGTGGCTCACTCTGCCTGTGCCCCAGGCTGCTCCACTCCCTCACCAACCTCAAGCGTGTCATCACCAATGCTGCGCACTACCTTGTGCTGGGGGACAAGGACACATATCACCATGACCCTGCTGCGCCCTTCCTCAGCACGGTGAGCAGTGCCTGCCCCTGGCTCCCTGCACACCGTTATGCTGTCCCCATGCCTCCAGTAGCACAACTCCATGCAGGGGTGACTGGAGAAAGGGCCCCAGCCTATGCCTGTGTTCCTGGGCCCAGCTGGCAGGGGGTGGGCATACCCCAACTCTCACTGCTCCTCTCCCCAGGATGACACACGCCCCAGCCAGGACTCCCTCCCAGAGAAGACAGTGGTCAGACTGGACACTTCACCCCGGTAGGGCCTTATGCCTTGCTCTGGGGACTTGTGGGGCTGTGGAGAGGCAGTGAGGGAGTACCTGGAATGCTGTGAAGCCATGAGTAGATGCAGTGAACCTGCGGGGTAGTGTGGGGCATTGGGCATCTGGTATGCGGTGGGGCTGGGATGCCATCTCTGGGTGACCCCCTGCAGGTTCCTGGTGGTGTTCAACCCTCTGGAGCAGGAGCGCCTGAGTGTGGTGCCAGTGCTGGTGGACTCCCCGCATGTGCATGTGCTCTCCGAGGAGGGCCAGCCCCTGCCCTTCCAGCTCAGCGCAACCTGGAGCTCTGCCACCGAAGTGGTTCCTGACATCTACCAGGTACGGGGTGCCCCAGTGCCAATGCCTGCCCCATCCTCAACCTGCACATCCCATGTATGCCAACCTCCCATCCCTGTACACTGCCAGGACACTCTGTTGGCCCTGCTCTGTCCCTACCCCACAACACAAGCTCCCACAGCTGTCAGACTGCCAGGCCCCCATGCACGTGCCAAGTGGGGGTTTTGCCCAACCAACTCCCAGCCCATCCCCAGGCATGGGGGGCTGGCTCAGGTCCCCACACTGCCTGCAGGTGTCTGTGCTGGCCCGCCTGCCCGCACTGGGGCTGCGTGTGCTGCAGCTGCACAGGTCCTCGGAGGGCCACGCCGCACTGAGGTCCTCCACACGCCTGTACCTGAACGGTCGGGACCTGCCTGTGCGCAAGCCTGAGGCTGTGCCCCTGCACGTCTTCCCGGCTGCTGCCAATGACTTCTGCCTGGAGAACCAGCACCTGCAGGCCTGCTTCTCAGGGCACTCGGGCCTGCTGCAGGTGAATGTGGGGCTCTGGAGTAGAGGAGGGGAGGGGGTCACCATGCTGCCTTCTGCATTCATGGCTGTGCTGGTCCGCACCCACAGAGCCTACGCCGAGCTGGGGAGGAGCAGGGGCACAGGGTGAGCAGCGAGTTCCTCGTCTATGGCACCAGGACCTCCAAGGACAAAAGCGGGGCCTATCTCTTCCTGCCTGATGGAGAAGCCAAGGTACAGGCTCTGTCCTGTGAGCCAGCTGGCAGCTGTGCCTGCGGGACTGTCTTTAGGCAGCAGGCTCAGTGCAGCACTCCTTCTCCCCAGCCCTATGCCCCCAAGAACCCCCCGGTGGTGCGGGTGACGGAGGGACCCCTCTTCTCAGAGGTTGCCAGCTACTACCAGCACGTTCAGACCACGGTGCGGCTGTACAATGTGCCAGGTGAGATCCTGAGGTGGTGCTGGGGTGTCACTGGCCCAGGGATGCTACCTGTGGGGCCCAGCCCCTCACTGGCTACCTGCAGGGGTGGAGGGCTTGTCCCTGGATGTGTCCTGCCTGGTGGACATCCGTGACCACATCAACAAGGAGCTGGCCCTGCGCTTCAGCACTGACATTGAGAGCGACAACACCTTCTTCACAGACCTCAATGGTTTCCAGGTATGAGGCCGCCTGGGGAGGGACAGCACCTGCCCACAGCAGGACAGTTCCTTGGCACACAGCACTGGGCACTGTGGGAGCCACTTCTGGCCACTGACCTCTGTCCCTTGACAGATCCAGCCCCGCAGGTACCAGCGGAAGCTGCCACTGCAGGCCAACTTCTACCCCATGCCTGCCATGGCCTACATCCAGGACATGCAGAGCCGCTTGACACTGCTCACAGCCCAGGCCCTGGGAGTCTCCAGTCTCAGCAGCGGTGAGATGGAGGCCTGTGCCTTGGAGGCCTGTGCCTTGGAGGCCTGTGCCTTGGAGGCCTGCTGTGAAGCTGGGGCTCCCGTCCCTAGGGGATGCAGGGGAGGAGTGTGCTGCAGGCTGGGCACAGGGTGCCCTGGTCCTGCTGTCTCTCAGAGCTCCGTGCCATGGGGGTGGCTGGCTCCTGGTAAAGCCTGGGACATGGGAACCCACTCTTCACAGGCCAGCTGGAGGTGATCCTGGACCGGCGCCTCATGCAGGATGACAACCGGGGCTTGGGCCAGGGGCTGAAGGACAACAAGCGAACCTGCAACCGGTTCCGGCTCCTTCTGGAGCGCCGCACCACTGCCAACAAGGTGCCTGGGCTGTGAGGCCACAGGATAGGAATGCCCTGCCTTGGGATGGAGCAGGGCGGAGGCACCTGCAGAAAGCCACGCGTGATGGGATGCAGCATTTGCTCCCCTACTGTCCCATTGCGCTGTCTCTGGGCAGGGATAGGCCTGGAGCGAGGGGCATGGGGAGGGTGGGATGTGCAGTGGGATCTGTCCCTGTGGAGCCACGTTACCCATGTAATCACAGTGTTCTTGTCCCATCCCCTCACTGCCCTCTATGCTTGCGCCATGTCACCCATTCAGAGCTCCGGCTTCTTTTCCAAACTGGTCTCCATGTTTAAAGCCTTGGGCTTCCCTGGCACCAGGACTGGCAGCCCTGAGGTAATGGCCGGCCTGGCCCCGCTATCTCTCCCTGTCTCGTGCACTAGCTGCTAGCCACTAGCCTAGCCAGGCCCATAGCAGGTCTGTAGTCTGATGGGGTCCTGTTTGGGTGCTGGGGAAGGGAGTCCTACCTGGGTGGGGGCAGCTCTGGGTACCCTGTGGTTGCAGGCGCCTGGTCTCAGGGCACTGCTGGCACAGTGGTTCTGTGGGCCCTGCCCAGGCTCTGCCTGGCCCCACGGCTCCCCAGGCCTCTGCTGACCCATGTGGTCCTCGGCAGGTGCAGGATGAACGCCCCATCAGCTTCCCCTCCCTGCTGAGCCACATCACCTCCATGCACCTGAATGCCGAGGCCCTGGTCATGCCGGTGGCGCTGGAGAAGCCGGTCCTGCCAGCCCTGCGCTCCTTCGTTCCCCTTGCCACCACCCTCCCCTGCGACTTCCACATCCTCAACTTGCGGATGTTGCAGGCAGAAGTGAGCTACAACCTGGGGGTGACGGGACTCTGGGGGGCTCTTGCCCCGCTGTCCCCAGTGTTGTGCCTCACTCTCTGGCTTCCCCCAGGATGACTCACTACCCTCCACCGAGGCAGCGCTGATTCTGCACCGCAAAGGCTTTGACTGCAGCCTGGAGGCCAAGAACCTGGGCTTCAACTGCACTACCAGCCAGGGCAAGGTAGAGCTAGGATGCCCCACACCCACACTGGGTCAGGGCTAGGCTGGGCCTTGACACGGCTGGCATGCCACATGTCAGGCTGCCCTGGGCACAGTGCTGCACCAGGGACAGCACATAGGCCTCCTCTCTTCTCCCTCCTCTCTCCCCAGCTGGTCCTAGGAGGCCTGTTCCAGGGGCTGGAGCTGGGCTCCCTGCAGCCCACCTCACTGACGCTGATGTACCCGCTGGGCACGGCTTCCAACAGCACCAACATCTACTTGGACCCCATGGAAATTGCCACGTTCCGCATCCGCCTGGGGTAGTGTGTGGAGAGGGAGAGGAGCAGAGTGGCTGGGCAGCGCAGGAGCAGCACCAGCACTGCAGGAGAGTGGGGACAGCAGCACTGTGGTGGGTGTGGGCAGCAGGCATCAGACTTGCAGAGGCGTCTGCTGCCTTCTAATTTATTAGTCCCGCATTCTCAGATAGATTTTGGAATGAACTGCTCTGGCAGGGCTGGGCGGAAGCTGCTGAAAGTGGTGCCGGGTGGGCTGAGCACAGCTGGCAGGGGCAGCAGGCCAGGCTCTGCTGCTGCTGGTGGGATGGGCATCGCTGCCCTGCCATGTTCACAGACTGCCCAGGAGTGTGGCCACCCAAGTGGCTGGAGCAGGGGCCCATGCTGGGCTCCCCTGGCCTGGCAGGGCAGCATGGGGGCTGATTGGTGGTGTTGGGCAGTTGCCTGGAGAGGTGCTGTGGACTAGAGACTGAGCTCACCTGGAGCTTGTAGGAAACACGAGGCTGTTTCCAAGGGCCCCAGTCTGTGTGTGGTTTGTGCCTCCTGTGCAGGCGAGTGGGTATGGTGCGTCATGGGGAGACAGGGCAGCACCCAAGGTGGGGAGTCTGGCTCGGGGCCAGGGTCAGTCTGGGTGTGCTGGGCGGGCTGCTGGAGCTGTGCTGTCCTCTGCTCTGTCAGGTCCCTGCCCTGCCAGTGCTCCCAGATCTGAGCTGAGTGTGGGGCCCTGGGCATGTGTGAGAGGCTGGTGGCATGGCCAGGCCCAGCCATGCTTGGGGACAGGAGCCAGGGGGACAGGAGTCAGGCAGCTCCTTTGTGCTGGCAGCAACAACTGGGGGAAGCATGGCAATGGCCTCTCCCAAATCCAGAGCCTTTAGCCCCGCTTCAGTGTGAGCCTGGCAGTCCAGTCTCTGCTGAGGCTGCAGCAGCTGAGGTGTGGGTGCTGATGCCACCTCACCACAGCATCCTCCCGGTTGCTGTGGGAACCACAGGGGCTGCCAGCTCCCTGGCCCCCGGGGCTAATTACTGCCAGCGGGGAGGGCCGCAGGGGGAGGCGGGGGAGCTGCCTCAACTCTGGTTTGGTTGGACTCGATGAACTTAGAGGTCTTTTCCAACCTAAATCTGTGATTCCACGATTCCTGCACAGCCTTCAGCACCTCTGCATGCTACAGGCTTGACTGTGGTCCTGCCCTGGAAGGGGCTGAGCTCACAGAGCCAGCATGGACCAGCCTCAGCAGCTCAGCCCTTTGCAGCGCCCAGAGGATGCCTGGCATGGGGACCTTCTGCTGGAGCCTGGCTAATGGCACGGCTGGCGGGGGGCCAGGGGGCTGGCGCAGGGCCCCACCCAGGGGTGGGTGATGAGGGAGTGGGTGCCGAAGGACTGCAGCACAGGCCACCTGCCCCCACCTGGTGCCAGGCGCTTGCCCCATCCCCTGGCCTGGCCCACAGCCCTCACCGTAACTCTGGGATCCTGGGAGGGGCCCAGGTCTCCAACCAGGGCCGTGGACCCTGTGGCTGGTGATCCGTGCCTGGGTGGAGAAGGAGCTCCTGGCCCGTCCTGCTCCTGGCCCCAGAACCTCATTACTGATGCTCCCGCCTCCGCCCTGGTCCCTGTGGACTGAGCCTGAGTGAGTACAGGAGGCTCTAATGGCTCTGAGCAGCTCTTGATGGGTTGCGATGGAGGCGGGAGCAGGAGTGGCTGTGGTTTCTGCCTCCATTGGAGCCAGAGCTGCCTCTGCTCAGGGTCGGCCAGGATGATGCTGGGTGGGCTCCTGCTCCAGCTGCTCCTCACCGTGGCTCTGTTACCCAGCATCTTTGGGACAGGTACAGCCCCACTGCTGCCCCTCCTGTTCCCTGAACCTGTCCTCCCCATCCCTGACGGATCCCCCCAAATCCCTTGGGGGTTGCTATCTGACAGCCTAGAACAGAGGTTGGAGGGGTCTGTGCTAGGAGACAGTGGTCAACACTGGGAGGGGGAGGCTTATGCTGGGGATGGTGGCCCAGGTGTGGTGGTCCTGGGGTTGGTCCCACTGCAGCTCGTGTGTGGGGTGTAATTGCTCTCTCCATGGGGTCATGGGGAACAGGGAGGGGTTCAGCTTGCAGAGATGGGGGCTGACCTGATGTCCCCGAGGGCTTTCCCCTCCCTTCTGCCACCACCCCCCTCCTCACCCATATTTGCCCTTGCTGAGGCCATGGCAAGCACTGGTGGTCACGGCACATGGCACACACGGGGGCAGGCACTGCTGGGGGGCTGGAGCCCACACTAAGCTGAGCCGAGGGTCCCTGTGTCATTTTAGCCAGGTCCCCTGGGGCTAGAGAGCTGCAGCCCAGCCCAGTTCATGCCTGCTGGGACTGGGAGGGCTCTGCTCTACGGCATTCCTGCAAGGGCCACCTTGCTGGAGCTGGCAGCCTGTCCTGCCGGCACCGTGTGGCTCTGTGACCCACACAGTGGGGACTCAGTCCCGGCCCTCTCCAAGCCCCTGCTACCCACCGCAGTCTCCGTGCAGAACCTGCACCTCTGTGAGGGCTACGTTGGCCACGACGGCCGCTCCCACCCCGGCTTCTACTGCCCACGGCTGACTGACCCCCCCGGCCAACGCTACTGCTGCCAGCCCAGCCCGCGTGCCCTCAAGTCCTGCTGCTCCCAGCTGGCCTTGGAGGCCCTCACCGGGGTGAACCTCTCCAGCCTGGCCAGTCCTGACCTACTGCGGTGAGCAGACTGGCTGTGTGTGCTGCTCGGGGCTCCCAGCACAGCCCCAGGGGCTTCCCGTGGCTGTTGGGATTGGTGCTGTGATATCCCTTGGAGCCCACGCTGGGCCCTGGGTGGCCCTCCCTAGTGCTGCTGTGCTGGGAGAGGCCATGGCTGCCCCCTCCTGAAGTGCACCCCCCTCAGGAACCCACTGGCCTTGCCCTTCGTTGGGCTCTACGCGCTCCTTGTCCTCCTGCTCATGGCCATCGACCTCTGCCATTTCTACCGGACCCGACGCTGCCACCCCGCCCGCCTCCTGCCCTGCACCCGTTGCCTGCCCTGCAGACCCCGGGAAGGGCACCCACCCCGTGCCCAGCCTTCCCACGGTGCCCCCAGCCTGACACGCCCCAGCCGGGGCTGCTGAGGGTCCCGCGGGTGGGGCAGGGCGGGGGGCGTGGGGGGTGGCCTCGAACCGGGGGGCAGCACGGGGGGTGTCCGCGGGGACCGCCGGGCCGCGGGGCGGCGCTGCAGGCCCGGCCCCCGGCCCGGCCCCGGCCCGTCACGTGACACGGGCGGCCGCGTCCGGGTTTCTGCGGAGCATCGGCGGTGACGTCACGGGCGCGATGGAGGAGCCGGTGAGCGGGGACGGGCAGGGCCGGGACGGGCAGGGCCGGGACGGGACCGGGGGGCTCGGGGCCGAGCCCGGCGTGGTGGGGCGGGGGAGTCCCTGTCCCGGGATCCCGGGCCCGTCTCCGGGCAGCCGCCGGTGCGGGGCCGTGTCACAGCCGTTCCCGTTGGCAGGTGACGGCGGAGCAGCTCCGGGCGCGGGGCAACGCTTTGTTCCAGGCGGGGGACCACGGCGCCGCCCTCGCCGCCTACACGGAGGCGCTGAGCTTGAGCGACGCCGCGCCGGAGCGCGCCGTGCTGCACCGCAACCGGGCCGCCTGCTACCTGAAACTGGTGAGGGACGGCCCCGCAGGAACCTGCCCGGCCGGCTGGGGCTGTCTGCCATGGCCGGGTGCTCCCTGCGCCGGGGGCAGTGTCGGTTCCCTGAGTAGAATGCTCTTGTTCCCAGAGAGGGATGTTGTCTCTGCTCACCTTTTGCCCTGTCCCTGCCCGCTGTCCCCTGCAGACCCACCTCCCGGGTGGGCTGTGGGGGTCAGGATGCTCCCGTCTGTACCTGGGCTGTGCATGTGCCCTGGGGCTGTCCCCAGGCAGTCACAGCATCCCTGATCTCCTGCTGGGGAACTGTCCCTGAGGCAAGGGGGGAACACAAGGAGTTTCAGGGGCCTGAGTAGACAAGAAGCAGGTGAAAAGCATCGGGGGCCCTAAGGCTCCACGGAGATCCCTTGAGGGTTGTGTTCTGGGAAGGACAGGTTGTCTCACTGGGCTGGCTCACAGTCCGCAGTGACGGTGTTCCCAGCCTGTCCCTGCTCGCCAAAGCGGGGGCGTTGGGCTGTGCGGGGCCTGCCTGGGCAGCCCTCAGGTTTTGCCTCTTCTGAATCTCTCCAGGAGGATTATGCCAAGGCAGAGGCTGATGCAACTAAAGGTACTGTCAGTGGGGCTGAGGGGGGCTGGCCTCTGTGCTGCCCACCAGGGCAGGCGGGGGCATGCTGCAGGGCTCTGCCATAGACCCTTTTTTGCGCAGCCATCGAGGCCGACGGCCGGGACGTGAAGGCGCTGTTCCGCCGTAGCCAGGCGCTGCAGCAGCTGGGCCGCCTGGACCAGGCCATTGGTGACCTGCAGCGGTGCATGAGCCTGGAGCCCAGGAACAAGGCCTTCCAGGAGGCCCTGCGTGCGCTGGGCAGCAGCATGCATGAGAAGGTCAGTGATGGGGGCAGCTGGACCCCCTGTGGCTGTGGACAGCTTGCGGAGGCAAGGAGGGCTGAGCTGCTCTTTCTGCTCTCTCAGATGAAGACCATGTCTTGCACGGACTCAAAGGTAGAGCAGATGTTCCAGATCTTGCTGGATCCTGAAGAAGAGGATGCGGACAAGAAGCAGAAGGTCTGAGCTCAGGGAGCAAGGGGTAGCGCTGTGGCTGGGAGATGAGGAGGGGAGGTTCAGTGCTCCCAGGTCCACAGTGGATTAGTGGTGCTGCTTTGGCAGGCCACGCCTTCTGCGGAATGTGCTCCCCGAGACGCTGGAGGGCGGGTGCCTGTGGCTGCCAGGGGTTCCCTGTGCACAGTGGATGGGTGATCTAGACAGGAGTCTCCTTTCCCAGGCTGCGCAGAACCTGATCGTGCTGGCACGAGAGGAGGCCGGAGCAGAGAAGATCTTCCAGAGTGATGGTGTGCGGCTGCTGACGCAGCTGCTGGACACGGCCAAGGCTGATCTGATGCTGGCAGCCCTGCGCACGCTGGTGGGGTTGTGCTCTGGCCACCGCTCCCGGGTAGGTACTGCTGTGCCCAGGGGAGAACCACGGTAGGGAGGCTGTGAAGTGTCAGACAGGGGAGCTCTGAGCTGTCACCTACCAGGCCTGAGTCTGTGAGAGGGAAGAATGCTGATAAGGGGCTGGTAAGTGCCAAGGCTTCCCCAAGGCCTTCAGCAGATGGGTGTGCTTGTACCTTCAGACCTCGGCCATCCTGGCAGAGCTGGGGGCCCCTCGTCTCTCGGCGGTGCTGGGTGTGGAGCACGAACAGGTTTCCCTGGCTGCCTGCAACCTGCTGCATGTGATGTTTGATTCCCTGAAGGAGGGGCTGCAGAAGGACTTCCGTGGAAAGGAGGATGCGGTGGTGCTGGGTGAGTGTGGGCAGCCTTGGCTGGCTGGTGGGAGGGGAGAACCCTGGGGAGGTGTACAGCTGCCGTGGGCTCTTCTCCTGCTGCCCACCCTGTTACTGCTCCCTGTGGCAAAGGCAGGCTTTGGTCCAGGGTTAACAGGAGGCAGAAGTCCCTGGTCATGGCATCATCTCTGCCAGCTTTACACAGTGGGGGTGAGGCTGTACCCAGGGCACTGATTGCAGGGCGCTGTCTCTTCTGGAAGATTCCTCTAGGGACCTGAAACTGCTGATCAGGCACCTCCTGGAGCTGCTGGCGCTGGAAGGGGCCTCAGCACACGGCCGTGACAACGCCCTCAACCTGCTTATCAAGGTCGTGCCCAGGAAGTCACCAAAGGAGACCAACAACAGCATGAGCCTCTGGGTGATTGACCAGGGTGAGTGGAATGGCCAGCAGCGTCTCACTGGGGCATCGTGCCCCTCTGCCATGGCTCTACACATGCCACTGTGCCCCTCACCAGGGTGTCTGACCCCTCCCAGGCCTGAAGAAGATCCTGGAGGTGGGCAGCACGGTGTGCGGCAGCCCAGGCAGCCTGCCTGTGACGGAGAACAGCCGGATGAGCGCCTCTGTCCTGCTGAGCAAACTGTACGAGGACCTGAAGTGCGATGCTGAGAGGGAAAACTTCCACCACCTGTGTGAGGACTACGTGAGGTGAGCTGGGGGTCCCAGGGGCTCGGCGGTTTGGTCACCTGTAACCTGGTAGCAGCTGTCACCCTCAGTGCTAAAGTCAATTGCAGACCCACTGTGGGGGTATTCAGCGGGTGGGGCAGGAGACAGCAGGTGGGATCAGCTTGACCCTTTCTGGTGGTCTTTCTGCACAGGGGCTGGTTTGAGGGGCACGAACTGCCAGGGAAGCTGCGGGCCATCCAGACAGTGTCATGCCTGCTGCAGGGCCCCTCAGACGCAGGCAACAGGGTGCTGGAGCTAGAGGGCATCATGGACAGTGTGTTGTCCCTGTGTGCCTCTGTCTGTGAGGCCCACCAGCTGGTAGCAGTGGAGGCGCTGATCCACGCGGCCGACAAGGCCAAGCGTGCTTCCTTCATCACAGCCAACGGCGTCAGCCTGCTCAAGGAGATCTACAAGCACAGCGAGAGGGACAGCATCCGCATCCGTGCGCTTGTGGTGAGTGTGGCGGGATGGAGGAGCCATGGGGCTGAGTCTGGGGTGGGCTGTGGATGTGGGATCACCACTCAGCACTGCCCTTCCCTGGGGGTCTGGGAGGCACACTTGGGTGCTTGTGCCCATTCCTGCTCCCACATTCTGCTCCTGGCTGCAGGGGCTCTGCAAGCTGGGATCTGCTGGTGGCACCGACTTCAGCATGAAGCAGTTTGCCGAGGGCTCCACCATGAAACTGGCCAAACAGTGCCGCAAGTGAGCGAGGCCGGGTGTGGAGGGAGTGGGCAGGGTGCCTCACAGACGGGCTCCCGCGCTGGGCTCAAGGACTGTTCTCCCAGGTGGCTGTGCAATGAGGCCATCGACGCAGGCACGCGGCGCTGGGCTGTGGAAGGCCTGGCCTACCTCACCTTCGATGCAGACGTCAAGGAGGAGTTTGTGGAGGACAAGGCAGCGATGCAGGCCATGTTCCACTTGGCCAAGGTATGTGCCAAGCACTGCAGGGTGGGCACCTTGACACCAGGGAAACATGGCAGAAGGGGTGTGGGCCTCATACTGTGGGGTGGGGTATATGGAAGATGTTGAGTGGGCTCTAGCCCTGGCTGCTCCTCCCTGCCACGAGTGTGACGTGTGTCCGTTATCACTGCAGTCGGAGGATAGGAGTGTGCTCTATGCCGTCGCCTCCACACTGGTGAACTGCACTAACAGCTACGACCATGAGGAGCCGGACCCGCAGATGCTGGAGCTGGCCAAGTACGCCAAACAGCACATTCCAGAGCAGCACCCCAAGGTGAGGGGGGCATGGCTGTGCTCAGGAGGAGAGTGGAGGGGTGGGACAGGGTGTCCTTGGGGCCCACAGGGGTGGGGCCAGGCACCTCACCAGCCAGCTGGTGCTCCTGAGCCAATTGTGACCCTACTTATGGAACAGGACAAGCCAGAGTTCGTAAAGCGGCGGGTGCGGAAGCTGCTGATGGCCGGCGTGGTGTCTGCTCTGGCCTGCATGGTAAAAAGTGAGAACCCGGCACTCACCAACTCCTGTCGGGAGCTGATCTCCAGGTATGAGTGTGCCAAGGGACAGCAGGGAGCTGGGTTCCCAGGCTGCTGGCATCTTGCCGGTCAACTTATGTGTCATCCATGGTGAATGATGGCATCTGGACAGTAATAGGGATGTCCAGGAGTCTGGTGCAGCCTGGACCCACTGCAGCTGTCTGGGTGCTCCAGCTGCTCCCACTTTGTCCCTAGAGTGTTCCTGGCACTGGTGGAGGAGGCGGAGGACCGGGGTGCCGTGGTTGCGCAGGGAGGAGGCAAGGTGAGGGGATGGGACCCCACTGTGCTGTTGCCCTGCACCGCTCTGGGGTGGCTGGGTCTGAGGGCTGGGGGTCTCTGATTTGCAGGGGCCAGACTGGCTGCCTCATATATGAGGCTGCTGTGGGCTGGCTGCAGGACGAGCTGCTGTTTCTGCTCACAGGCTCTGATCCCACTGTCCCTGGAGGGCACCGAAGTGGGGCAGACCAAGGCAGCACAGGCCCTGGCAAAGATCACCATCACTTCCAACCCAGAGATGGCATTCCCTGGGGAGCGG